GAAAGAATAATTCATTTAAAGTATATTTAATTTTTTATTAACAATTCCATTCTTTTAATAATTAATAATAAAAAAATACTTGAATTTTTGAATGAAAAAAAAACGTATTGTAGTTGGTTATGATGTCATTACTTCCATTGAGGCTGTGAACCAATCGCAATCGTGCTATACTTTTGTATTTTTTATATTCGGATCCCCACGTGTCATAAAATAACATATATTTTTTTTAATTTTGGCAACGTAAACATGAGTGTTTCATCATTCCACCATGCGGTGGCGTTACTAAAGCGATATAATGACGTCACTGGCGTTTGAATTGACATTTTAGAAAAAACATTTTTAACTGTAAATTTTAAAAATGGTTTAAATTACACGAAACATCAATTGTTATTTTAAGTTTATATTTTTCGTAATAATTATTAGTATTCAAGAAAATATTTAAAAAAACATGAAACTTGTCTATTTAATATATATATATATATATATATTATAAAAAATCAATCCATTCGTACTACAACCATAATATAGCTGCTGTATGGCTTTATCACGTAAAAGATTTAGATATCAGTAATGTTCACAGCGTTACGTTAGTACCTACTTATTTTTTATTGAAAATAAATGAAGCTTGAATAGTTTGTATTATAAATGTTTATAACCATCGCCTATCGGAAGTAGTAGACTGAACAGTATTTTTATCGCTGATTATAATTGCTTAACTTTCCCCGATCTAGTGGTAAGCGGTGATGTAACTGATAATAGAAAAGCGCATTGGCTTAGCTCGAAAAAAATAATTCACTAATGTCTTGATGACACTTACGTTGAATGGATATACAGACGCTGGCATATAAATTATGCAACTTCTTTGCTGTATGACTTACGAAAGATGAAGCGAACCGTTTGCTTCGAATGCGTGGTATGTCGACAATAAAGGGGTGAGACTCGTTGAGATCCAATATACATAAAGCGACTTTGTAGTGATTTTAATTGATTTTTTTTTAAATCGAAGCCGTTAGAACCATAGTTTTAGTAGGCAATATAGTTTTATTCCACTGTTGGTTTTCAAATGGTAGATAGTAATTTTAACTTTCAGAGTAAACGAAGTTTTATCTAAAACAACTCTATCTTCTCTGTTGCTTTGCCAATAGAATATTTCAGTAACTATATTAATAGTGTTCTTCACAGCTGGCCATATGAGAACGCTCAAGGTTACTCAGCTAGCTATGGAGAGGGCTATGCTCGGGGATTTCCGTGTGATAAACTTATAAATGAGGATATCCACAGAAGAACCAGAGTAACCGACATAGCCCGGAACGGATTAGTAAGCTGAATGGCAATGGGCCGGCCATATAGCTCGAAGAACCGATAACCGATGGGAAAGAAAGCTTCTCGAGTAACAACCTCGCACAGTTGTGAAGTGTAGGCGGCCCCGCACTAAATGGATTGTCGGCATGGTAAGAGCTAAATAAAAGGCTGTAATTATGATGACGATGATGTTAGAAAGGTACTTTTTATTAAATAGAAGAAAGAGCTGTTCAGTTCAGTGTTTATGCTTATCCATAAATATTATTATGCAGGACCAATAATAATCAAAACTATGTCGAATATATTTTGTGATTTTTTTTATTAGGAAATTACACCTGTCTCGATAGTCACAGGCTAAGTTTAATTATAAAATCGTGTTTAAAACTTCTAAAGCAATACAAAATGGGGCAGTATGATGGATAAATTTATAAGCTAATCTTTTCAATGAAGTACATTTAAAGTAGAAAGTTATTTTAACATTGAATTAAAGATTTCCTTTAAAACAGAAGTTACGAATGTAGAAACATTCTCTTCTGAAACAAACAACAAGTGTAAAGTAACTCTTAGCGGCGGCGAGGAAATATCTCCAGACTTAATGAGGTAAGTCGTAAAATTCTCGTTTCACGTTGCTTTTCCCTTATTTTTAAGATTGAATGCTAATTCTTGATGGTGAAAGCAAAGACTCGCTTAAGTGTATAACAGGTGCTTGGATTTTAAATTGGACAAATAAATAAAAAACTGAATTGGAAACTTTATAATATTATATGTATCAAATCGCCGCTGGTGAAAGGAGGGCTGGATTCTTTTTTCGCTCAAAAGCTATGGTATAAAACGATTCCGCGGAAAAACGCAGCCAGCGTTCTATGGCACTACACCATGGGGACTAGGACTTCATGATGATTTTAGTTTTTGTATTAGAGTTGTTTTTATTTACTTATTTTATATCGATGTCGTTGCCCAATACAGCTTTAAGTAATTGGAGCTTCCTTTTAAGCGAATCATTTTGTTTCTACTATAATGCTAATTTATTAGTAAGATAATAATGTATTTTTATTCAATATAGATTAATAACAATACTTATTAAAAATCACATTTTAAAAGATAAATATGCAACTGTTTCGGAATATACCTCTGTAAATATTCTATTGACTACATGCTTAAATGCGATGGTCTTTTATTTAAAAAAAACCTGTTTTCATCCGTCGCCACAAAAACCGCGTAAAATGCAAAAGTCTATTTAATCTGTGGTCGCAAATTTAAAAGTTAAAAAGCGATGGCCGCCTTCAATTTGGAACGGAGGGGAGAACGCATCCGGCCGCGTTTCCTCTCTGACGGAATTTCGAATTTAAAATCGAATTCGACTGCACTCGTTTGATATACGAGATATCAATTTAAAGCTGTATGGTAATAAGACTTTTGTCTGATAGTGGTTAACTTTGTTTTACTAAATTAGGCGAATACTTTTTTTAATGCATAAAATGAAATGACGTGTAAAGGGTTTAAAACTAAAACTATCCTTATAATAACAACACAAGTTTAACTAGGTCTATTTTATATCCCGTTTGGAATCGTGCCTAAAACATAACTCTGGAAAATTCGGTCGTTAAAACTATTCTATTTTTTGGGGTTATCGTCTATGTTTTGTTTAATTTATTATAGAATATATAACGATGTATTTAGAATTCAACGTTGGGTACCTACATCAAGTTACGTAATATATTTTTAATGAAATTCTTATTAGTTCGTTGAATGTATTTTTATAACTGGCAACCAGATTAGTGTTGGGTTATAAATTTATTAAATAAACTTTTTAATTTTTTTAATATAACACACAAAATTATTATCAGTAATTATAAATAACAAATTGTAGTTTGCTCATCATTGCTAGATTGTATACAACGGCAAATCCTGCAGACACATACATAATATAAATAACACCCACACACGCACTCAACCGTCATGCGTCGCCGCTCTCCCCTTGCGTTCGGGATTCCACTGCTGAAATGCCGCAAGACTGGCCCTAATGCACAGGTATTTGTGCTAATGAGGTTTTCTTCGCGTAAAACTATTAAAGGAATGTTCTAATAATAGTATATAACTTTTCTTGATTTTTTAAACGTTGAACACTAACAAACGTATAATGATTTTTAATTAAAGTATTGTATTAACAAAAGAATTTCTAAAATACTAAACTATTATTACTATCATGCTGTGCTCAAATTTAGAGGATTTTTCGTAATCGCAAAACTTAGTAGACGGATTTAGGATCGTAGTATCAAGAACCTTATATCTTAGAAAAGCTTTCATATCATTTTTGTCTGCATATTATAGATTATAGATGCTGGTGTTTTTGAGGTTTGGCGAGGTTAGCCGAGTAAACTTCCTGCTATCATTCGCAGTCACATGATATATATATATATGAAATATCATGATTGTATTTATACACATATATGGAAAAATATAGGAGTATTTATGTTTATTTATATATACAAGAGAAATGATTAATAGGGGGTTACTATATGCTTTATTATAAATTTGACGCACTTTGGTATTATGAAAATAGAATATTATTTCTCTTTTTTTTTCATAATATCGAATGAACAAACACAATCAAATCAAACATTGTCACCTTTGTGGGGGAATTAAATATAATAGTTGTTACTGGTGGGTACCACCAAAAATGCCGCTCTCCGGCATGTTTTTCTATATAAAACTTCTCTTCAGAGTGGACAGGCAAGTCATTGAAATCTAGGCCTGTATCCTCATAAAAGTAATGCTGCCGCAGAGTTCAGGTTCAGTATACTTATTTGGATAAAATCATAATAAGTTCAGAGACTCCGATAAGTTATCGTGTGCAGAAGATAAGAGAAAATATTTCACCGTACGCCATTTTGTGTTGATTCTCCTTTCTTATAAATAAGGATGACAAAAATACACTTGACTAATTTTTATGATAAGCGTATGCTGAGTTCCATAGACATTTATCCACAATTAAGGATCAGAACACATAAGCGTTTTCATCCTTGAAGACCAAAACGAATGTCTTGTTACTAGTATAAACTGTTCCTGGTTCTTATCACTTATGGAAACACCGCAGTTATTACTTTACGGTGGTATTATATGAGACCGTGGTCCTGCCCCGGTTGAGCTGAGCTGAGTTTATTCAGCAGCCATAAAAGAACTGCAGCGTGACTCTACCATTTCCTGAATATTTATTAAATTGAAAGTTAACGTGGTAGGAGCATGCTGTAGCTATATTATGGTTGTAGTACGTATGAGTTGGTTCGACCATGTAGGAACAGGTTCTCACAGAATACCGGCGTGAAATCATAACTACGGTGTTTCCGTGCTAAAATAGCAGCTTAATGCTGCTGTGTTTCTTAAGGTAAGTGTAGAGAATTGGAGACCCCTTTTACTGGCATCTCATCTCAGTCCTCAGGGATGACAACGCATCTGCATTTTGATTCTTTATTAAAGATAAATATAGATCTCTATGGACCACAGTATCCACTTACCATCGGTTGTCACCCTCATTCTATAAAAACAAATGTTAACATAAATAGTTAACGATCTACTTCATAAAAATTGTTTGTATATTGCTTACATTGAGTAAGAACCTATATGCTATGTGTCCTTACTACTTGAATAACATATTAAAGACATATGAGTACACGTCGTCTCGCATGAATAAAGCCTACCGTTGTACATTGTTTATGTGAACAAGTGGATTATATATGGCTATAAAAATATTAATGGGATACCATTTACATCTTTATACGTTGGAAAGCTATAGATTCGACTTTTAAATGTCACGAGTTTTTGCGCTACAACTATTAAGTGCTATTTACACGGTTTTAATTCAAAGGTTTCGTACGATTATGTTATAATTTAAATTAAAGTTTGTTTTTAAGTCATTTGCCGGACGAAGACCCCATCAAGGATAATGCCACCTGGCAAGAATTACTTGGAACAATTGCCTATATTCATCACGCTGGTAAGCACAGAACAACACCCTAGCAGTGACGAGGATGTTCCTTTTAATTTGTCTATATAATTTTATTCGAATGAATCGATTTTCGACCGTCTCTCGATCACTAGATTTAGAGCTGTTTGACATTTGGGGTAAAAATAAATAAAAATATCACACATACCATAATATGATTAAGTAATTATTATTTAATCTATTCTTTCGTTAGGCATTGTAACTGTAATACCAGATATTACACATCTTTTAAACCGCTTTCCTTTAACCAGTCTGTTTGTTTTTTAATAATGTAGGTAAGTCGTAAGCCAGTGTTTGACTAGTAGCTGAAGAGGATAACGCGCAGTGACTTAACTTAAAAACAATCGACATGTATTAAGATGATGATTCCGTCAACTGTCGTAAGGTAACATGTTCCGGTCTGTAGGGTCAAGGGAGCCGGTATAAATACAGGCTGTGATTACTGGTGTCATCATCTATAGCCCTCTTTGTATGAAGTTGGCTGCAGAAGCCCATGGATTGCATCACTTACCATTAGGTTGACTGTACGTTAATTTGACACTTTAGGTTTATTTAAAAAACAATGGTGACTATCGAGCAAATATTCCACTTGTTGGTACTAGATGATAGTGTGATACCTACATTTATTCTCGATGAAGAAACGACAAACGCGTTGTTATGCCAGAGTTAAACGATTTTTTTATAGGATAGGGTGACAAACGAGCGCCCACTTGATGGTAAGTTGTTGCTGTGGCCCATAGACATCTAGATCTATCCCTACTTACGAATCAAAATGCAGATGCGTTGTCACCCGTGAGGATTAAGATGAAATGCTTTGTTACAAGTAAAAAGGATCTCCGGTTCTCTACACTCACCATACGAAACACAGCAGCGTTAAGCTGCTTTTTTACGCTGGTATTCTGTGAGAGCGTGGTCCTGCCCCGTTCGAGCCGACCCATTCGTGCTACAACTATATTACTATTAACTGCAGTACGGCTTTACTACGTCTAGATATATGAAAATGGAATGTACATTTTAACAAAATATTTGTATGTTTCAAACATCCTTCTGGTGGTATCTATATCTCGGGTTCCATAAAAAGTTTCAAGTATAGTTATTCTGTTAATATCCCCCTTATTGTTTCGAATATCCCATATAAACCATAATAGCATGGGTGTGCGCTGGCGCATGACCGGGGCAAGTCATGAGGCTCGTCCTTGATCTGAGCCAGGCGAAGTTTTAATTAAGGTAGCGCCTTTATTTAAAACATCTTTGTAACATCGACCAGACAAGTTACAATGGGCCCCTTGAGAGCTAATATTATGTCTGTAAACAAGTAATTTTAACCGACTTTAAAAAAAGAGGACGTTTTTAATTTGGCTTCAAATATATATATATATATATGTGTGTGTGTGTGTGTGTGTGTGTGTGTGTGTGTGTGTGTGTGTGTGTGTTAGGGCATAAATTCTTTCTTTACGAACCGATTTCGTGTAGTCGTAGTGTGGGAATATCCGCTACCCCATATCATCCCGTGGGCGTCGTAAGAGGCGACAGAGGGAAACAAGTCAGGAGATGAAGGGATGGAAAATATGTCTCCTCTATGAGGCTATATATGGGGGAGGCATTTGTTCAGCAGTGGATTTTAATAGGCTGTAGTGGTGTAACGGAACCAATTTTAACGATTTATCTTGTATTAAATGGGTCATAGTTAAGGGTTGATCCGATATAAATATTAAGTGGAAATTTCATCCCTTAGAGTGGAATTTTTAATAGGAATTGAAAAGGGTAAAAAATTTATTTATAATAATTTCAAATATAATTTATATATATATATATATAATATATAGCGATGAAATCTTCAATTTTTTATAGCTTCTTAAATATGTCTTAACTTTTTTTACAGTGGTAGAGCCACGCTGCAGCTATATTATGGTTGCAGCACGACTCGACCGGGATAGGACTACGCTCTCACAGAATACCAGCGTGAAAATAGCAGCTTAGTGCTGCTGTGTTTCGTATGGTGAGTGTAGAGAACCGGAGACCCTCTTTACTGGAAATGAGGCATTCCATCTTGGTTCTTAGGGGTGACAAGGCATCTGCATTTTGACTCTTAATTGAGGATAAACGTAGATTTTTGTGGGTCACGGCATCTACTTATCATCAGGTGGACTGTGTGCTCGTTTGTAACCCTTATCCTATAGGTAAAATATATTACAATATGCCATGTTTTAATGCCGAACGTTAGTAATAATAATATACACAATATAAAATTAAAAACCGAAGGACTAGAACACGGACAAAATATTCACGAGAAACAATCAGTCCTTATCCGCTTCATTTTAATTTAAAAATTCAATTTATCGTTGAGGCAAAAGTCTATGTTGGTATACCAGGAAAAAATCCAGTATGAAAATACTCGTAAAAATAATCTACATCTGTAGATTATTTTTATTAGTCACCGCACTATACAAATCTCCCGTTGACAACATCCGCCATCGATTGTTTCCGGTGGGGAGTGGTGCTTCGTTGAGCAACGTTTCCAACGATATTAACCTGGCCACTGATGACTCGTGATCTTTAAAAATCAAAGTCACATCGTGACGTCACTTGTGGATACAAATAAAAAATGGAATAATTTCAAAAATCGAACACTTTATTTTAAATTGATGCGTAATACCGTGTACAGTGTCGTAAGAGGCGTAGAAAGAAAACAAATGAAGAAATAAACAGCAGCGTCTTACTAATAACGACTAAAATACAAAACTGCGGTTACTAATCCGCTAGCCAAGCTTGGCAACTATGGCAAATATTCCACCTGTATAGGCCTACAGGTGTGGACCAGTTCAGCAGTGGACCTGTGCTTATAGGAATATTTCACCATACAACTCTAAAACTCCTTTCATATAGTTACTCTGCTCTTTATAAACTATATTATTATCATACACTCAAGAATCAACCCATGACTTTGATTAGATTCAGTTTTAAGACATCAGTTTTATAAATATATTCCAATCATCGATATATACTTATGTACTACGCACTAGATTTGGCATTCCGACCACTCACTATGTTCAACTGAACTGTACTGCAATCCGTACACCTGTTATTGTGGCTTCGATATTCATGGAGTGTGGAGCAGCGCTAATAATTTGTAATTAAATTAGCACATATGCAAATTAAATGAAAGTTAAAAAAAATTTACTCGATTTACAATACAATCTAAATAAACAACTACCTAGGCTGCACTAAAAGTATCGGGAATGGAATATTTCCACTGTTCCTGTCATATTAAAATCTTTTTAATTGAAAACTCCTTGGTTTTAAAAAATCGAATACCATTTATTTATTTAAAAAAAGATTCTCGGTCTTGTCACAAGGTTTTGTCAAACTTGTTTAGTCGTTGAGAAAATGGAATTGACTCGAGAAAATTCAAGAGCGTTGATTTATTATGACTTTCGAAGTGGTTTAACACAAAAACAGTGTGTTGACCGGATGATTCCTGCATTTGGTGATGAAGCCCCATCCGAAACCACTATTTATCGCTGATTTGCTGAATTTCAACGTGGACGTGTCAAACCCAGTGATGATCCCCGTCAAGGTCGTCAAAAACTGCAGTCACCCAAGAAAACGTTGATGCTGTGCGTAAGCTGATTGAGAAAGATCGACATGTGACATGACATACCGTAATTCAGCCAACTTTAGACATTGGCATGAGTTAAATACAAATAATCTTGCATTAACAATTAGGTGCAAAAAAATTGTTTTCCTGATGGATACCCCATTCGCTCTGTGAAGAGCAAAAAGCGGCTTGCGTTACTTGGTGCGTCAGAACTCTCGTTCGTCGTCGAACGTCGAAAGATTCCACGCAGTATCCTCAAATGCTGTTTACAACATCGTATCAAGTGACGAATTCTGGATATATGCGTACGAACCCGAAACAAAAAACCAGTCACGAGTTTGGGTGTTCGAAAATAAGCCAACAAAAATTGTTGGTTCTCGGAGTGTTGCAAAATAAATGGTGGCCACGTTTGTTTCCAAAACCGGCCATGTTACGACTATTCCTCTTGAGGGACAAAGAATGGTTAATGCAGAATGCTGTGCTAGCATTTGTTGCCTCAGGTCGTTTCTTAACTCCGTAAAGAGAACTGCAACCGCCGCATCATCCTACATCACGACAATGCGAGTTCTCACACCGCACACAGAACAAAAGAGTTTTTAGAGCAAGAAAACATAGAATTATTAGACCATCCGCTGTACAGCCCCGACCGAAGCCCTAATGATTTATATACTTTCCCTAAAATAAAGAATAAATTGCGTGGACAGAGATTTTCATCACCTGAAGAAGCTGTGGACGCCTACAAAACGGCCAATTTGGAGACCCCAACTTCCGAATGGAATAGTTGTTCAAGATGGTCCATCGTATGGTAAAATGTGTCAAATTTCGCGGAGAATACTTCGAAAAGCAATAAATACATTTTTAAATAGTAATGTTGTAATTGATAGAATCAGGCGTTACTTTGCGGAAATCCATTATAATAAAAAATAAAAATATAAATTTCTTTGCAACTTTCCGCTAAACATATAAAATGATGTGTCTTACCTGGATTGAAGCGCACCTCCCGCCCTGACCGCCTGCTTAGCGGTCAGCCACCGTAGAGTCTATATTACCTGAGGATGCCTCGTGTAGAGGCGAAACACGTGTCGTATTATCGTAGATGGTGTGTCT